GGTTGTTTGTGCCAATAAGTGGCTGGATTGCTGGTGGGAGTAACAGATTGAATTGGATAAAATATTTGTACGAATAATTTCTTCAAGTCTGTTCCATCTTCACCTTATTTTCCTTTTTGGCTCGCAGTCAATTGTGTTCCATCTTTAAGTCTGGTGGGAGTATGCTCTTTCTGGTATGTCCAGCTACAATTTCATTTATGCTATCAAGTTGTTGTAGGTGGCATGAATTAACTTGGTATGCATTAGCCGTTGGCGGCGTGCATCGTTCCACAGGCTCGCCGTGCCGCAGTGAGTTTTTTTGTTGTTGTTGCGAATAGCGCCATAGTGAGTTAGGAGTGCCCTTGAGGATGTTACCGCACACTGTTAGCCATGAATGGTGAAAGAACAGTCCAGTTAGTAGGTGTGCTGCAGGAAGGTGCTGCTTCCAGATGTTCTTTTGCCTAGCTTAAACTATTAGAAATGGTTTGCTGTAATTGCTTCATGGAAGAATCTGAATGATTTTTTTTTAGACAAATCTGAATGATTTATATAACAGCGTGTGATACAACTCTTTGCTGCAAACGTACACTTGAAGCTAAATGGAGGCTTCAGTCTCCGTTGTGTTTTGATCTGAATTGGCAATTTGCCTTCAGATGCTTCCTGTGTACGGTGCTTCTAAATTTTAATGTAAGGAAGGTGCTTCTAAATCGAGCTTCAAACTAAAGGGCCCTCTGTGTAAGGTGCTTCTAAATTTTAATGTAAGATGCTTCTAAACTCATGTTAGGTTCAGTGCCTAAAGTGGCGGACCCCGGTGAAGAGGGGGTAGACACCGTACCTGTTGCAGCAGTCGACGACGTCCTTGTCCATCGTGCTGCCGCCGGTAGAGGTCAGCAAGAGAGAACCGCCAAGTCGGGGTCTTGGTCTTGTACAACTCAACCACCTCGCTGACCCCTTCATCGATCAGGAAATTCGGGACTCCTTTCTTCAGCCCAGGCCCTGATGGTTTCGCCCGTCCTGCAATCGCAAGTTCTTGCACTGTCAAATGCTTTGTTCTTGCCTTCTCCCTCCAGAATTGCCACTCCAAAGCGCTTGACAAGCTTCCCTACGCCAGACTAAAACCCCTCATCCTTCTTCTAGTTCATACAGATCAAACCGGCTTTATCTCTGGTCGAAACATCACAGAAAACTTTTATCTATGCGGTGGATATCATCTTTTGTTGCCACTATCGAAAAAGCCAACTATCATCTTCAAGCTCGACTTTTTTAAGGCCTTCAACTTTATCTCCTGGGATGGACTATTTGCAATCCTATACCTCCGGGGGCTCCCTCCGGCTTGGTCTTCCTGGATTAACTCTCTTCTCTCCTCTAAAATGGTGGTCCTACTAAATAGGATCCCGGGATCCTGGATCAACCATCGTTGTGGTTTGAGCCAAGGGGATCCTCTCTCCCCTACCTCTTCCTCATGGCTGCCGATCTACTTCAACGTTTGATCCTTAAGGCTTTCGACCCAAACTCTCTCTACCACCCCATCGACCACTCCCTCCCACCAGCACTCTGCAATATGCAAACGACACCTTAATTATGGCTCACGCTTACTTCGATGTTACTACCATCCTCAAGGGGGTCCACCTTGATTTTGTTGTTTCCACTCGTCTCTCCATAAGATTTCCTTCCTCCCTATGCACTCCCCCGGGTTCCATCATTGCCAAATTTTCCTCCCCGTTTTGATTGACCAACGTTCCTTAAATGTGAATCGAACACTGGCTATGCTACCCGCATAGCCAGGGCACTCGCACGCATCGCGTCGTTGTGAGCCGATGAAACAAGCATATGCAAATGCAGTTGTCCAAAGAGAAACAGAAGGTAAACCTTGCTAAATAAATCTTATCAAGGCAGAGAGCAAGGAACAGAGCGGAGGAGTTAGAGCTGCAGCTAGCCAAGCACACCCGTCATGACCCATGCCATGTCGTGTCGTTAACAGAATCTCTTCACAAGTGGTCTTGAAAAAAGAATCTCTTCATGAAACCCAATCCTTACAAAGTTACAATTACTAAGCTCCCTATGAATAGAAGCCTATAAGAGCTCCAAAGTTTTGTCCTCGGAAGTGGACCCTGTCTTTAAGGGTCTGGTTGGATCATGGGTCCCACATGAAAGTATTGGAACCGACATTTTACTAAAGTATTTTTCAAAAACTTTAAAAACACTCATAAATTTATTTTATTTGTTAACTTAAAGAAACACTGATTTTTAAAAATATTCACGAATTTAAATAATGTTCTTGATTTAAAACTTCTTCACAAATATCAGAAAAAATATTCATTGGTTCTACAAAATGTTCACAAGTTTTATAGTTGTTCATGATTTTTTTAGAAATGTCACAACTTTTGAACAATATACGGGGATTAAAACATGTTTCTAAATCTAAAACATGTTCACGAATATGAAATATCATCATGGATTGTTAAAAAATGTGCACAATTTTGCAAAAAAAAACTTCTATGAATTTTTAAAAATGTTCAATAATTTAAATTATTGTTCCTGAATTTCAAAAAGTATTATTAATTTTGAATACATTCGCTAATTAGAAAAAAGTAAAAATATATAAAATGGAACATGAAAACAAATATGAGAAAAGTCGAGAAAAAAGAAAAGAAAAAATATCGAATGAAACCTTTCCAAAACCGGAAGGATCGGACCACATGGCCAACCCAATAGCATCCACGGGGATCCGCATTTGCTCGACCGCCTTTGCGATATGCATGAAATGTTAATTGCCATAATAACCCTTGGGAGGAAAAGTAAATTAAATCAAAATCAAAGTGGGCGCAGCAAAGCGCGTGTTACCCTATAGTGAATAGAAAAACTGGCCACCCGTTTTTTGGTAAAAAGAAAAACTAGCCCACTCTTTTCTTATAAAAAAAAGCCACTCGGGATGGCTTCCTTGGCGCACCACACGCAGAGAGGCATGACTTTGTCTTGATGGCGGCAAGGCGTAGCAACCGCTTGCCTCAAGGGTAAAAATGCGCTTAGATTTTATAAAATGATTATGTAGTGTCAAAAAACAAGTTCAAAATAATGTTTGTACCGTTCAAAAACAGTTGTAACATTTAAAAATCTTCATACATTTAAAAAATTCTGTTTATGTTATTTTGAAAAAATATGTTCGTCATGTGTTGAAAAATGTTCAACGTGTATTTAACCACTTGTTCAGCATGTATTTCAGAAAACAGTATCTCATGTTTAAAAAAATGTTCAATGTGTATCTGAAAATGTTTCACATGTATTAAAAGGATTTAAATGTATTAGAAAACTCTACCCCGCACCTCAATATGAATTTGTAGGTTCAGAAGAATTCTTAAAACTTGTCAAAATGTCATCGATTTTAAAAAACCTTCTACGCAACCTTGGTTTTGTTTTTTTAATTCGTTAACACAAATTCATAATTCTGATTTTCATTCACACAAATTTACTTTTGAAATATTTGTTTTTAACTCAGAAAATTCAGCTCAATTTAAATTCCAGGCGTTGCCCAAAACAGTGTTGTGAGCCCAGTAAAGCCCAATAACGTGTAGTAGGTCAATATTGAACCCTAGCAGCAGGCAGGCCCAGCGCACGCACCGAGCAGCCACGGAGCAAACTCTCTACCTTTCCGCGCAGGACCGACGGCGGCGTCGGCGGCGCAGCGATTGGAGCGACGGCGTCTCCCGCCGACCACGTGCGTCGCGGGGTGGGGCAGCGGGCGGTGAGCAGCTCGCCGCAAAGCTCTGTTTCCGGGGAGGAGCTGCGTCGGAGCTTGCCGCAAACTCTGTTTCTGGGGTGGCGCAGCGTCGTCTTGGTGCGGTGGCGACTCCGTGAGGCCCCCGGTGCAAGCCCAGGTTCGCTCGCCAGCTCCTCGATCCAAAGCCCCAACTCTGAAACCTAGGAATCGTGAACGGTGACCGAGTTGACAGATTTTCGGTGTGGTCGCAGCAGGTTTGTCATGTCGACGTTCGCCGGTGTGTCCGTCCTCGACGGCGACAAGCCGTGCTCTTGCGTAACGTCGGGCGTCGGCGCCGGTGCTGGCGCGAGCAGCGTGTACCACCTGCTCGTGGTCAAGGGCTACTCTGGTATCAAAAAGGAGTTGCCCAACGGCGAGAGCTGGTGCACTGATTTGTTCAGGGTGGGAGGCCATGAGTATTCCATCGAGTACTATCCTAACGGCGCAAACCCCAACTGTGCCGACTTCATTTCGCTCGATATTACCCGTCTCTACGAGGAAGATGTCGAAGAGGGTGTGGAGGCCAAGTTCAGTTTCAGTCTCGTCGACGACGTCGAGAAGCAGATGCCGACGTACATTCGTGCGACTCGTAAAACCCGTGACTTCCGCAGATGTGATCCTTGTTGGGGTTGCGACAAGTTCATGAGAAGATATGCCCTTGAGCGATCAGCCAGTCTAAAGTCTGATTGTTTCACCATCAGGTGTGATATTGTGGTGTGCAAGGACAACACCCCAGATGCCACCGGCTCCGGCACCGGCACCGAGGTTCTCCTGCCTGACATACACCAACATTTTAGCAACCTCCTTCAGAATAAGGTGGGTGCTGATGTGACATTCGAGGTCAGCGGCGAGACGTTCGCTGCACACCGGTGTGTGCTCGCTGCCAGGTCTGAAGTGTTCATGGCGCAGCTCTTTGGCACCGCTACGCCCAGCGTCATGCAGATCACAGATATGGAAGCAAAAGTGTTCAGGGCTTTGCTTTGCTTCATCTACACAGACTCGTGTCCTGAGATGGAGAAGAACAGCATGGAGGAGGATGAAATGCCAGGAGTTGTGGGACAAGGACAAGTAGAGGAAGTACTGGAGGATAAAATGTCAGAAGTTGAGGAACAAACACAAGAAGAGGCGGTAGAGGATGAAATTCTTATGCAATGGCTGCAGGACTTGTTTGTGGCGGCAGACAGATACAATCTCCAGCGGCTCAAGTTCATATGTGAAAAGCAGTTGTGTGAGCATGTAGGTGTGAGCTCCGTGGCGTCCACTCTTGCTCTAGCCAAGCAGCACCACTGCCATGGATTGAAGGCGGCGTGCTTGAAGTTTATCCAAGTCCTATCTCCCTCGCGTTTGCAGACACTAATGGCAACTGATGGATGGGGGCATATAGCAACGACATACCCCTCTGTTTTGTACGAGCTCATTGCCATCCTTGCGTCAAACCAGCGGAAATGACACTCTGGTATGCATGGTCTTCAAGTGACACTCTTTTGCATCTATAGTATCCTCTATAGATATCGTAGTTTGTGTGCTCTGCTTTTAATTGTCTCGTCGTGTAATTTGCATGAATGCTGAATCAGAAAAACCCAACATATGGGCATATTGTCTCTTCATGCAATTGCAATGGATGGTCTGTAAATTCAGTTGTGAGGATCAACATTGATCTTCATTGCAGCAATGCACAAGTTTCCCAACAAATTTCATTTTATCCTCATGTATTCGTCTGTGCATTGTGTCGGACAGTGTACCTTTGTGCCTCCCCTGTCATTTAATACCCTTTTCTAGTGGTTATCAAGAAGAGCAAATGTTTGAAGTTTTCTGGAAAGGGATTTTATGAACCTGGATTTAGGGAAACAATATTGAAGACAAGACAGGTCACCAAGAATTTCAGTTGCCGTGACAGGCGTGGTGTGAAATCTTGATCCAGTATCAGGGATCTTCTCCTTTATGCTTGGTGTTCTCCTCAGATGGGACAAAAAATGACTTCCGTTGTGGTGTATTTGGAAGCACAGATGATGATTGATTGCTGTCAGTTAGCTACTGTATTAGACAATGAGTTGATGAGGAAAAAACCAGCTTGCTTCCATTGTGTTGTTTGAACTTGTGATTTCCAGACATCACTAGTACTCCCTCTGTAAACTAATATAAAAGCATTTAGATCATTAAAGTACTGATCTAAACACTCTTATATTAGTTTACGGAGGAAAGTAGTAAATAAAAAGAAGAAAAGAGTCTGCAAAGCCACATGAAGGAAGTGGCAAAAATCTAGATACCAAGTCTTCATACAGTATAGACCCCGACACTTTCTAGCAAGGAAAATATCATCAGAAGATCAGTTTGCATGATAGTAATGTAATATGTTGTTTTCTCATTGATGGTTATCAATGCAGTTCACAGAGGGCAATGTGCTTGGAAGTATGAGACATTTAGTTTACTTGAGGGGTATGTGCGATATATCATATTCTTACCAGCTTCCATGAATTAACGCATTCTTTTCGTAGATATTCTGCACTGCCTTTTGCACTTGGTAGCTTCATATGAAAGATATTCCACTTAACTGAAACTGCAAGTATGTCAAAAGAATACCTTCGATGATTATTAATTATTTTCTTTTATCTGATTGTCATTTTTAACTATGTGGATAATTTGGATCTCGGTGCTTATCCATGTGCAAGTTCTCATGCTCTTTTCAGCCCAGTGAGGAATTGGTGCCCTTTCGAAAAATATAAATGAATTGGTAATCTTCTACTCTGAAAACCATGATTGGTTTTGTTCTCATTGTTGATATTGGAGCTCTATTACTTACTGTCAAGTAAACAAAGCTACTTTTTTTGCGGGGGAAGTAAACAACGCTACTACACAATGGCCATTCATTATTTGTTCAAATATCTTAACAATGCAGGTATGACGATTGATTTAACGACAAGAGACGCACATAATACAAAATAAGTATATCAAAATGGCAATCCGTACATAACCTTCAAAGGGTCTTCATACCGGGAAGTGTGTTTTATACATCAATATTTATACAAGTCAAGTGAGATAACTTAAGTCATATCACTATGTTTAGTAAAAAGTAGATCACATCATTTGCATTTTGTTATCTTTGTAATTATACTACAAGTATTGTGTCCATTGCAAAACAATATCTTAATATGCACATGCACATACCGGGAATGCGTCGTTGCACAGGCTTGCAGCGCGGAGGTGAGTTAGGAGTGCTCTGGAGGACGTTATCGCGCACGGTTTGTTTGTTAAGACTGTTTAGGTATGCATAGTGAAAGATGAGCTCAGCAGTGCTGGCAGAGAGGATCAGAGGGGGCAGGAGTTGCTGCTTGCAAATGCTTTTTTCCTCGTCAAACAATTGTTGCAAGTGGTTTTTGCCGTGATAGCTTCGTGGTGGAATCAAAATGGTTTAGGTAAGAGCGTGATGCAACTCTTTGCTGTGAATGTACTTCAAAGTTCAAATTACAATTGAGGCTTTGTTCTGCGTTTGTGTTTTGATCTGATATGCTTCAGCGTGATCACCTCCATGGCGTCCTTCCAAGCTGCTACCCTAAACTCTTATAATGGGTTGCTGCTTATAAGTGATTATATTTACTGAATAGCAGGCATTTTCGGCATGCACTGAACATAGCAAGAGCGGAGCATGAGTTCACTGTTGAGACTTTTTACGGTGCATCGTACTACTCAACATATTGGGTAGTATTTAGTTGATCCAACGGCCAGTATGGATTAATCAAATTTTCGTTCAAGGATATATTGGTAATTCCCAACCAGAGGTAGATCTGTTATTTCCTAATTTAGTCCGAAATATTAATCTAACTAATTAAGTTAATCTCATCTCATCCGACGCAGCACCGTTCGTCTGCTACTCGAGACACCACGCCGCCGTAAAATCTAAATGCATGCATGCGCCGGCGTGAGGACCTCCGCTATACCTACGCCGCTGCAGCCACTACATAAACACAAAATAACTATTTGGTGTGGCGCACGGCGCGCTAGCCACTATGATTTTCATTTGATGAGCAGCAACGGCAAAGCGGCGGACGGTGCGATGGCGAGCGAGGCGGCGCGGGCGTGCGACGGCCGCTTGCGGCGGTGGGCGCCTCGCGTGCGTACGTGCATTAAGAGAGCAAACAGTGATCTGATTGTTGGGTACGTGCGTGACGCGATTGTGTAATCTGGCCGGCGGCGAGTCTACTAGTGATGTTAGCTTTTCTACGTCGCTGTGTCCTGTGTACGTGGGTTACATGCCAGCTTGGGGCACGAACCTAGGCCGTCAGCTTCGCTCCGTCGTCGCCCGAAGCATATCGCAGAAAAATACATGGCTGCGTGGACGGGCCAAGAGATGATGGGAGGAAAGGTTGGTCATGGCGGGGAAGAAACCTGCCTGCGTGATTGATATATAGTTCCAAAAATGCCCCCAACGAGTAAATATACTACCAAAAACTGGTGTAGTATAGGCTAATCTGGGCCCTAGAAGCCAAAGAAATGAACGGCCCAGGTTGATTTGATGTACCGTAAAATGTCTTCCAAGGAAAAGCATACCTCATTGCCCATTACATGGAAGAACACGCATGTTTTCAGAAGAATAATACGGGCATGGGGACGACCCGTCAGGTGTTCCACCCGGGACGAAATCACTCTCTTCAAACGCCTCCATTGCCGAGATTGTGCAATAGGCTTGGGCGCTGCCGCCGCGGCCTCCTCTCCGAATCAGCCAAGCCAGTTCCAGATTTACGCTGATCAAGCCTAAGGGCAATCCGCAACCTTCAACGAGGTTTACTACTCTCTTTTCACTTTTATAAGACCTTGAAGACATTTCAGACAATGTACAAAACAACCCATTTTGAGTTGTCTGAAATGACTTACAAAAGTGAATGGAGGGAGTAGCACGATCAAGAAGGATAGGGAAGCATGAACGCATCGTACCTAGCTCTGCCAACTATGATAGCGGGGGATCCAGGATTCATGGAAGCCGGTCGAGGATGGAGTAGGTGCAGAAAGAGACTCATATGCCATTTTGATGAATGATAACAGCCATTAAAATTCTATTTAGGTTCGAACAAGAACTAAAGCTTTCTTTTAAGTATGGAGTTTTATAGAATTTCTTTATATAAATTATTTAACTCCATTAAAATGTGTATATTAGCCTATGTATATTAGCCTTGGTTTTATTCCATCATCACCATATGTCATGTTTGTACCAAGGCTAATATACACATTTTAAATGGAGTCAAACATGACTAAAGCTTGTCCTAGCATCATGTTGGCCCTACACTCTTGTCGTAGCTATTCTTCTAGAGATAATTATGTTAAACATGGCTAAAGGCAAAAGGTGGAAGGCCATGTCAGAGAACATTGTGGGTTGTTCCACTTAAGACATTACTAGGACCCGAGTTCTTGTTATCTTGACTGAAGACTGTCCGCGCTAAGAACGCATGAGGTCACTAGTAGAAAAATGGTCAAATGTGAAGCACATTAGTGCCGGTTTAAATTTAAGCCGGCACTAATGTGACCATTAGTGCCGGTTCCAACGGCTAGGCGGGCGGGCGGGCATCATTAGTACCGGTTCGTGGGTAACCTTTAGTACCGGTTCATGCCACGAACCGGTACTAATGAGGCTATGTCAGACTATGGTCAGTCTGGGGGCCCCATGAAGACCTTTAGTACCGGTTCATGCCATGAACCGGTACTAGAGTTTCTTTGTAAGTTGATTTTTAGTCCCATCTCGTCAAGAGAGAGGCAGTATGAGTGATTTATAAGCCGTGAGTGCACAGACAATGACGAAGAGTTGCAATGCTCAGCTACATGTTGATTAGCTTCAAGCCTTGCGGAATAGCATAGATTGCACTGAGCTATGTGCACTGCAGTCTACACTATTCCGAATGGCTTGAAACAAATTAACCAGCATTGCACCTCTTTTTTATTTTTAATAACTTATTTGAACTCCGGACTTCTTTTGTGTTCAGTATGCAACATTCAAAGCGACGTCATCAATTTCCAACATGTTCTGACATCATTTGTTGTTTTTCGGTCATTTACCTAATTGTTTAGAGAGCTAAATGACCGACCGTGAAATTGAAAATCACTACAAAATGAATCCTGAAAATGTTGAAACTGGGCATGGTATCATCATATCACCCGCATAGCATGCACGAAAGAGTAAAGAGGGTCACGGCAAAAACTGGATGCACTTCGTGTATAAACTGGACAAACTCTTTCAGAGTATCAAGGTTTCAGACGAGAACTCATCTGTTACATGGCCACTTCAATGTTTTTTAAACTTATTTGAACTCCGGACTTCTTTTGTGTTTAGTATGTAACATTCAAAGCGACG